TCTGGGCCTGCTGCAGCCCCTGGGAGTCTCTTGGAAATGCAGAATCTTAAGCCTTGAACTAGATTTACTGGATCAGAAGGTGCGTTTTTAACAAGACCCCTAGGTGATTCCCATGCACACTGAATGGGTTTGTAAGCAGCCTTCTGGGGGTAGTACTGACCCCCCCATCAGGAATACTGACCAAAACCACCCTTCCTTGTTTCTCCAATGAGGAAGCAGGCCCAAGGAGGCTGGTCAACTGAGTACTGTGCTCCTGTTCTTGTCACTAAGCTCCGTGACATGGGGGGTTCTGCTCTCGTATCTGCACACAGCCACCAGCAGAGAGACGTACACACAGCTGTGGCCTTGGAAAGGGCCCTCATCTGTATTCCCTCAGGACTGAATTCTGCTTTTTACCCAGAAGACACCGGCCTTCCATTACACATCTGTAGATGCACAAGCAACAGATCCCTAGTGCTCGCGGGGCCTGAGTTTCGACACCTCCGTTTTGAAAATTTCACCAGCTGCTCAGAGGACCCGTGTTTGAATGCAGAGCAACTGGCTCCCTCCCCACTCCCTCTGCCAGGAGGCCGCTTTGGTCAGCCTCCCGCTCTGAGAGAGAGAGTGAAGCAAAGCAAAGTCCCTCGCCGCTCTGTGGTAACTACAGAGACATTTGATGCTGTCCCATGCAAGCTGAGGGGAGAAAAATCAAGGGCAGCAACAAAAGGCCAGGAAGGGAGCGTCCCTGCGACAAGAAGCCCCAGCAGGCAGATCCATCTGCTGACCTGTGACTTCGAAGGCCAGATTCAGGGGCGCCTGGGTGGCTCAGTCAGTTGAGCGGCTGACTGCTGGTTTTGGCTCAGGTTGTGATCTCGGGGTCTTGAGACGGAGCCCCACATCGGGCTCCACGCTCAGCATGGAGTCTGCCCGAGATTCTCGTCTCACTCTGCCCCTGCCTCTGCTCACGTATTTTCTTTCTAAATAAATAAAATCTTCATAAATAAATAGATAAATGTATGCCAGAGCCAATGACCTATGAACTACACCCTCCCGGCCCATCCCCCCACCTCAAATATTAACTCACCCTCCCCCCGAAAGCAGCAAAGGAGAGAGGAGGCTTCCTTCAGGCGGCCTTTCAACTCTGACTGAGGCTCCCCACCAGGGGCCCCCCGGCCTGCAGAGCTGCGGCCACTGTCAGCTTCCCCCTGAGCTGTGGGCAGGAGGATGGCTCCATATCTCTGCCCACAGTCTCTACTTCCGGGCCCTCACTTCCTCCCTTCATCGAGCAATGGTAAAGACTCAAGATGACTGGAAGCCACCCACCTTCTCACTCCACTGCTGTGAGTTTTTTTCTTTTATCACATGGAGGCCCTCGCCCGACCCCGAACGCCGTTTCCACGCCATACTGACCAGGTGGCCCAACTAGGCTCCTAGGACCGGGATGTGGCTCGTTCCCCTTACCTCACACATCTGGCACCCCACCTCACCTTCAGAAGCTGCTCTGTAAGTGTCAGGGGGCCGGAAGAGCAAAGGGGGCAACGGAGCCGATGGCAGCATGACAGACCACAAAGGACGAGCCCTCACCTTTGTGAGGAGCACAAACATGGATTCTCATCACAAGCTTTCTTGGGGGCATGTCCACAACTCACCGCTTTTCAGAGCTGCTCCCTTACCGTTGTCAGGACTGTCATCACCACGCCACCGCTAATGGCAAGCTTAAAAGCTGAGAGGTGTAGCTCTAAGTCACACTTTCAAGATTTGAGAGGCAGCATGAAATACCAGCTAAAGTATCAGGTTCTAGAGCCAGAAATTCTTAGGCTCAAATACTCGTGCTGTGAATCCTGGTCAAGCGACTTCACCCTGGCACTTTTTCCTTGTCTACAAAATGCGAATAGGACCACCACATCCTCATGGGGTCCTGGTGCGCTAGGGCATGTAAGAGAACAATTGTCGAGCTCGTTTTTATTCCGGGTCTCCAAGCAGCTACCCAGGCTGTGCTAAGACAACCAGAGAGCAGATCTCCTTCCCCTCCACTCTGAGGCGAAATGGCAGGGACACACAGGTGAGCCAACACGTCAGGAGCAAATGAAGCAGAATCACACCCACACAGACATCCGCCCTCTCCTTTTCTTCTTGAAAAAGACCACCCTTGGCTTTTATTTGCCAGTTTGAAGAGACATGAGTACCTGAATGATTTCTTCTTTCTTCTTTAGCCACCGTTAGGACTGTACAGTGGTGATGCTCGGTGGCCATCAACACTCAGACTTTTTAGAAGACAGAGAGGGGTAGGGTGGGGAAACATCAGATGGGAACAGGCTAGTCCCAATGTCAGGGATCCTTACAGACAGCAGCCACTCAGTCCATACCCATGGTTATTAGAACCCACTGTTTCCAGTCCTTTGATAATTCAAAGATAGTTCGGAATTTTTCAGCATTATACACATTTAGTCATGAGCTGGAATGATGGGCTTACTCACTTCACCATTACCTATAATAAACGCCAAATGACTGAAAACAATGACCTGTGTCCATCAGTAGGGGCTTGGTTGAATTAATCAGGGTACATCCCTACAATGGAGCACTATGCCCCTGTCAGAAAAAAAAAAAAATTCAGAAAACACTCAACATACTCACAGGAAAGGAATGCCAAGATAAATTGAGTGGGGGAAAAAAAAAAAAAAAAAAAAAAAAAGCAAGGTTTAAAAAAGTGTGTATCGTAGGAAAAAACAGGGTAGAGGTATCAGGTATATTTGTACTGACTTGTGTTTGCAAAATGAAACTCTAGAAGGATGTACAAAACTAATTAAGCTGATTACTGTCCCAGGAGGGGGAAGGGAAGGCAAATACAGCCCAAGATAAGATTTCACTAGATATCTTCCTGGAATGATTTTGTTTTTGAACTATGTAAACATATTGCCTATTCAAAAAATGATATAAAAATATCGTGTAAAAAAAAATACACCAGCCGCTGTGAACAAAGGACATCCTCAGGCTACACATGGAAAGGCCTGCAGGCCTCTGGTTTATAACTTCTGTACTGACGGGCCCTAAATTGGGGAAGGAGTAGCTGTTGGCAAAGGGAACGAGTTCTTCTAGGTCTGGAAACAACCCGGTTGTTGAGCGTCTGTTATTTGGGATTCCCTGCGAATTGCCCAGCAATGAGCTGGTTGGGTCCAGAAGCTCCTCCTCTCCAAAGGAAAGGGATACATCTTCTCCCAAGGTGAGGTGGGGCTCCCCCACTTCCCTTGATAGTTAAGGCTGCCTGGAACCCAAATGGTCTGGTTTTTCCCCTCCATTGGGACTTCTCCCCAATTTGTCCTATAAAAAGGGAGAGTGATAGGAATATGGAGGTCCTCCCCTGGAGCACAGTATCCCAGTGTGTCCAGCCAGGCCCCAGGTCACACAGACTCCCCTGGAGAATGTCAAAGGAGAGAGAACAGAGGACACATGCTTCTCAGCACCAAGGGACACTCAATATTCACGCCTTTCATATGTCTTGCCACCCTGAATGAGCTCACTTAGTGTTCTGGGTTGAATGGCGATCGCCAATAAAGACCTGTTGAAGTCCTCACCCCAGGACCTCAAATGGGAGCTCATTTGGAAACAGACATTGCAGATGTCACCAGCTAAGATGAGGTCATCCTGGAGTGTGGTAGGCCCTAGTCCAATAAGAAGGCAGTCCTGTGGGGGCCGCCCGGGTGGCTCAGTTGTTTAAGCGTCTGCCTTTGGCTCGGGTCATGATCCCAGGGTCCTGGAATGAAGCCTGCTCGCTCTCCTTTGCCTGTCGCTCTCCCTGCTTATGTTCTCAATCTCTCTCTCCCTATCAAATGAATGAATAAAATCTTAAAAAAAAAAAAGTCATGTGAAGATAAAGATACAGAGGGAGAAAGTCATGTGACGATGAAGGCAGAGCATGGCTTACATGGCCACAAGGCACGAAATGCTGAAGATGGCTGAAAGACCCCCAGAAAGTGGGAAGAGGCAAGGAAGGATTCCCCTACAGACTGGGGAGGGAGCATGGCCTTGACAACACCTGGACTCTGGACTTGAATCCTCCAGAAGGGGGAGACGATCAATTTCTGCCATTTTTAATTGTTTGTGATACTTTGTTACGGCTGCCATGGGAAATGAATAGCTCCGGCTAGCTCACCAGCAGAGGAAACTGATGCTGTCTCAGCTCAGTAGGTGGTTGGGAAGGCACAGAGGGCAACTCTGACCCAAAGGATGAAAACTCTGGGACCTGGGCTGATGGAGCTCGATCGTGTAGGTATGCAGTAAAAACTCAGCCAGTCAATCATTACAGAGCACTGACCTTGTAAGGAACATAGGAGAGAGAAAATGTTCCATGACTTTTCCAAATGTTCCAACTCCTTGGGGAGTTGAGAATGTGATGGCAGATTTAAGACACACATGAAAAGTATAATACACACAAATACATACACACATACACATTATAGACATATATAATACATGTAATACAACATATTTCACGTGGCCAAAGAAGAATGACCTCACCCCCAGCCGATGCCACAGATGTCACCCCTAACTAAATTCCCACTGGATGGCCATCTGGCCTCAATCTTCTACTGTGTTTCATTTTAGCTGCTCCTGATAGGTGTGTCTGGAAGACCTGGGAAAGCGGCGGGATGTCAGGCTAGTAGTCAATTTCTAGAAGTTATCACCCCGTTCCTTGCTGAGCCCAAACTCCTTGCCCACTGTGGATACCCACTGCTCTCCACGATCATTGTCTGCTACCCCTGGTCAAAGACTCTCCCACCAGTTTCTTCTCAGCCCCCTTCACCTGTTCAGATCCTATTCTACAGCTCTCCACGAACCAGACATGCAGGAAACTCAAAATCCAGGTAGGTTGGCAGGGTGGACTACAGGAGTTTTTAAGAGAAAATCAGAGACCTCCTCCCCCCCGCAGGAATACTGCATCATCATGCAGAACCTTTGCTTATTTGGCCCTGCCTTCTCGCAGGTTCCCACCACACCTGGCTCGAGGAACCTCTGATTCTTACCGTAAGCAAGCTGGGTGGCCCGTCAAACACCCGGGGGTTGGGGAAGCAGCACTCCAGGCTTGAATGCTCCTGGAGATCTCTCTGAAGTCCAGGCCTCTGGGTTGGACAGCTGCTCCGGGAGGAAGAGACGTGGTCGTGCTGAGTGCCAGGTGGACACCCAGGCAGGGCTCATGAGGAAAAGCTGCAAGTCGAGGCCACTCCACCCCTGACCAGCAGCCCGATGACGTGACTTGGGCTCCAGGCCAAGCTCCTGAGGGACAGCTGTGGTCCGGGCATGAACTGCAGAAGGAACAGACAGGGGAAAGGTCTCCTCGTTGTGACTTCAAATAATTCATTACAGATATTCCGAGTAGAAACGGCTTTGAAGTCATTTAATTTGTATCCTGTTGCTTTTCAAATAAATTTCCAGCTGGGATTTGGGTCTGGCTTTGTAGCAGACACTGTGCTTAAGCAACATCCATTTCTCCCTTGCTCCCTTCCAACAGAACTCTCATGGTGTTACCACTCAGGGCAGGCGCCTGTATGCCCAGCCCATGGGCCCTATGCCATCCTACAAATGCAGGCCCCTGACCCATGAACAAGTAGGGGGTGGGCTTCCCACCCCCTCTGATCATTGACACATGAAATGGTTTTCTGGGCTCTGAAAAAGAGAGAGGCAGGAAATCTTCCTCTGCCGGATGTTGTCTTTGCCCAGGCACTTCGTGACCATGATGGGGAAGCATAAGGGAAGAGCAGGGGAAGAAAGAGCCCAGGTCCTTAAGGACATCTCTGAACCACTCAGCTGAACAGTCCCGGTGCCCCCCTTCCTCCAGACTTCTCACTATACACGTAATACATATCCTCGCTGTTGACATTCACTGAGTTGAGTTTTGGGGCTGTGTTTTGACTGCCGAGAGCTAAGATTATCCTAAATGATATGCATCCAGATGTTCCCAAAATCATGGGTCCATATTCCTGAAGCATAATCTTGTAATACTGACTACAGCCTCCCGCACTTTCCACTTTCTCTCCACCTTTTCTGGGTGTCCAGTCCTCTCCCCGAACTTGACCCATGTCACCGCCTTGTCAGCACAGTGTTCAGTTCTACGGTATATGCCAATTTGGTCACTGAATCCATTAAATTTTTGAGTCTCTGTGATGTACCAGACAGGGATGTCATCCTCACAAATGAAGCCCCGGAGAGCGCATGGTGGGGGAGACCCACGCCTGGCCAGGAGGTAGGTGAGCACCAGTGGCAAGTGCTTCGATGGGAGGTGCGCCCCGGCCTGGGCACGCATCAGGAAAGTGGGGGTGGGGAGTGCTAGCAAAATCACCTTGGAAAACAAACTCATTCTCTGGGGAAGAGCAGAAGGTTGTGAGCTGCAGACCTTCACCACCAAGGATATGAAGATAAACGATAATGGTGGCAGCAAGCATTTCCTGAGCGCTTATAACGAACCAGGCACTGTTTCTCGGGCTTTCTGAGGATTAACACATTCAGGCCTCCACCAAAGCTGATGAGGTAGCTCATATTATTCGCCTCATTTTATGGAAAAGTACACTGAGGCTTAGAGAGGTTAAGTGACACAGGAAGTGAGTGGCAGGGGCAGGATTTGATGCCGGTGGAAGGACTCACACTCTTGACCTGTCTACAGCAGTGCTTCTCACAGTGGTCACCACCAGAACAACAGCACCAGTGGTTCCTGGGACCTGGGACCTGGGACAAATTCATATCTTAAGCCTCATTTCAGACTTACGGAATCAGAACCTCTGTGGTTAAGACCCAGCATGTAGTGGTGTAACGAGCTTCCATGTGATTCTGGAAGCCCCATAATGTTGGGGAACCCCTGCTCGATACCGTACGCACATGATGAGAAAGGATGGCATATTCAGAGGGAGATGAATGGTGGGAAGAGAAGCAAAACCAGCAAGAGAGATAGGGTGGGGAGGGTGGAAGAACCTTCCATATCAGCCTAAGGAACTTGGGCTTCCCTGTACAGGCGTTTCGGAGACACATGAGGGGTGAGTCAGAGAAGCAGCATGATCAAGCTTTGTGCTTTGAGACAAGATCTCTGGCCCTGGTGTTAGGAATGGACTGCAGGAGAAGAGGCCAGAAGGAGGGAGCCCAGCTAAGAGGTGATACAAGCAAGAGCAGGGGTGGCACTAAGCAGATGGCAGAGCGACGAGGAACAGGGTTACAAGAGACAGGTTGTGATAATAGCAGGGCATGGGATGTGCAGCTGGCAGAGGTATCCAGGATGCCTCCGTGGCTTTTAGCCTCAAAAGTTAGGTTGGTGGGGAAACTATTTAGCCAGGTTAGAAATAATGGAGGAGGAACATGTTGGGCAGGAAAGATAAAAAATGTCCATTTGTAAAATGTGAAGACCGAGATGTCTGTGAGATATCAAGAAGAAGGTATTTCAAAATGCAATGTCGAAGAAGGATCTGGTGCTCAGGGGCGGAGTCCGGACTGGTCATATGGGTTTGGGGTTCACCAGCATAAATGTGATGCTTCAAGGCAAGATAAAGCTAAGGCTGATCACAGATTGTCTAGGAAGGAAAAGATGAAGGCTGGATTTATGCAAGACACTAATTTTCTTTTTCTTTTCTTTCTTTCTTTTTTTTTTTTTTTGAAGAGGGAGAGAGTGCATACTTATGTGCAAAAACTGTAGGGGAGGGTAAGGGTGAGCGGAGCAGAGAGAGAGAGAAAGATTCCACTCCCAGTGCAGAGTCCAATGTGGGGCTCAATTCCAGGACCCCAGATCACGACTTAAGCCAAAATCAGGAGTTGGATGCTTAACCAACTGGGCCGCCCAGGCGCTCCAACACTAACATTTAAGGGATACAGAGCAAGAGAGCAAAAAAGACTCAGAAGCAGAGCTTAGAGGGGTAGCTAAAAACGAAGGAAAGAATGCTGCCTCAAAATCCAAGGATAAGGAAAGTTGGAGAATGTTTAAAGATAGAGGGTTGACAATGGTTCCAAATGGGAAGTCTCACATTTCAAGACTGAGAAGAAACACTGGCTTTAGCAATGAGGAGGTCGCAGGTGAACTCAGTAAAGGCAGTGTCAGGGGAGCGAAGGAGACAGAAACCAGATTCATTCACAGATTTATTCTCTAGATGGGCAATAACTACCACATGTCAGGCTTTGTGCTTTGTGTTAGAGATACAGAGATGAGCAGGACGTGCATGAATCCGACCCCCACCAGATGGTGGAGGAAGACAAAGAAGAGAAATTACAAAAATAATCATGGAATCACAACTGAACTAAGTGCTTTGATGAAGACACGAAGGGACATACAGAATGCTCCCCACAGGGAGTGTACAACATAGAGAGAAGATGAGGGAAGGGAAGGCACATTTAGGCCGGGTCTTCCAAGATGAACAGGAGTGAGCCAGGGAAGAGGATGGAGAACATCCAGGGAGAAGGAACAGCTGATATTAATACTCTCGGGGAGAAAGAGCTTTCCTAAGTCCAGGAAATGGAAGGAAATCAAGGCAAAGAGTATAATTTTAACATGGCAAGGATCGGCCTGAGGTGAGGTTAAAGAACGGTGCTTTGTGGGCCAGGTTAGGGATCTAGGACTTCACCCAAACAGTGGGAGGAAATTGCTGATGTTTAGCCTAAAAGTTAGGGAGAGTCACGATCCGATTTGTATTTTTTAAAAGATGACTCTGGCTACTTGTGGGGGAATGAAATGGGGAAGGGAGAGGAGGGACAGGGAGTGGGTATACTGAAAGCAGCTGGGGAAATGTTATGGTCCAGATGAGAGATAGTGATGTCTTGTTCCAAGTTGGCAATGAGTACGTTCAGGTGTATGGATCCTAGAGCCACTTAGTAGGTGGGATCAGGAGGACTGAGGGATTGGGTGTGGTAAATGGGGAGGAGAGGTTGAGGCCTTAGAGCTTGGGCTCTATGGTCCCCTCTACATCCATTTTGGATACACCCAGAAGACCACTGGGATGGAGTAACATGGACCCCTGAATTCCAAGCAGAGGTAAGACAAAACTAGAACTCAGCAGCAACTGGGAGACAAGTCTTACCAAGCCCTCCTCTCCTCAGGGTGCCCCTAATAGCTTAGAGATAAAATGATCCCTCAGATAGGAGGTCTCTTGAAGACCCCCTTGTTTGGCCATACTACTTCCAGGGTCGTGTCCTCTGTGGGTAGGGCCCAGAGGAGAACAAGCTTCCATTGCTCTGCCCCTGCGCTGGGCAAGACATGCTGACTGGCTTCTCATTAAGGCATGCATTCACTGTTCACGACATTCAATTCGTAAAATACATTCAGTACAGTATGGACAATTCTAGGCCCCAAAGGCCAACCTCCACTGGATTACTTTTTTCCACTCATAATTTCGTCAATTTTATTTTATTTTTTTATTATGTTCATTTAGCCAGTATATAGTACATCATAAGTTTTTGATGTAGTGTTCAACGATTCATTAGTTGTCTATAACATGCGATGCTCATCACCACACTTGCCTCTTTCATGCCCATCACCCAGTTACCCCATCCCCCAACCCCCTCCCCTCTGTAACCCTCAGTTTGTTCTCAGAGTCCAGAGTCTCTCATGGTTCGTTTCTCTCTCTGATTTCTCCCCATTCAGTTTACCTTCTCTTCTCCTGTGGTCCTCTGCACTGTTCCTTACGTTCCACATGTCAATTTTAAATAAATATGCTAGACTTCTATTTCTAACATTACGGCTAAGTACTTTGACCCTCCAACTCAAAACAACCAAAAAATCTTATACAAAAAATATATTTTTAAAAACATTTCTAGCAGCATTGATGAGATGGCAAGAAAGGAAGGAATTCAGAGGCCAGGGACTCCTTCAGATAATGAAATATCCAGGTTCTGATTATAATAATGACTGCAATGTCATTGAAAAAATTAAAGACAAGCCTGTAAATATGTACAAGGAACAACAACAAATCATGAGAAATAATCAAGATTTGAAAAAAAAATGGACCAAAGGGAATTTTTAAAAATAAAAATTAAACAACTGAAGTTAACAGTCTATGGACAGACTTAATAGCACATTAGATACAGTCTGAGAAGGAAGTAGTGAGCTGGGAGTTAGGTCAAAAGAAACTAATCCAAATGCCGTAGAGAAAGATAAAGACTCAGAAAAATAGGAAAGAGAGCTTAAAAGACATGAAAAATGGAAGCTAGCAGGTGTCTATTTGGAGTCTTAGAAAGGGAAGAGAGAGAGAAAGCATTTAAACAGATAATGGCTACAAATGTTGTGAAAGGGAAGAAAAATGGAGCACCAGGCCGGCTCAGTTGGTTAAGCATCTGA